CTGAGTGGCAGGGTCTGCAAGTCCAGCTCTTGCTATGGATTTGTCGCACAAATAATTTTGGAAAGGTATAAATACCAGGAAAAATAAAACCTGCTCATAACATGAAAAAAAATGTGGGATGAGGGGATGTCAGCTTTAGTTAAGGGGGTGAGGGAAGAGGGTTTGAAGGAGGGACATCTAAGATAAACCTGAATTCTGGGAAGAGACCATCATTCAAAATCTGGGGAAGGGGATTCCAGGCAAAGGGAGCTGTGACAGCACAGAGGTGCCAGTTCAAACCAGGGTGAATTCCACAACTAAGAACAGTGACTATTTGTGTAGTAATTTTATATTTTGTTTTAAATTATATCTGTTAAATTATGTCCCCACAAAGCCTAATAACCCTGAGGGATTTGGGTCTCCAGTTGCAGTGGTGGAAAACTTGACCAAAAGAATGACACCCAGGCCCAGGTTAAGTCCATTGCAGGCTGGACCTCGGAGCTGCGCTGGGCCTGGGCTGCAGCCTCTGGCAGAGTGTGTGCACCCTTCCCTGTGTGTACGCCCTTCGTTGGGTGTGATGGCCACTTCTGTGTCAAGGTCCCACCACCTCTATGCTGACTCCTCTGCCCTCAAGCTCCATCAGGGAAAAAGGTCCCTGCTTCAAAGACCTTCCAAGATCTGGTTCCCCAGCAACCGAGGCTGAGATGGATTCCTAGGGCAGGAGGATTATGGGGCAGTTCCCTTGCAGGGATACCTGGCAGGGAGTGAGGAAATCCAGACCCCACAGAGGGACAGATCCCATTGTCATGCTCTTGCAATGGAGGCCTCAGCTGCTGGGATGCTCTGGAGCTGGCACAGCCCTTCAGAAACTTTCCAGCTTTGAGGCCTCGGCACCCTGTGTTGAGTGGTCATTGGCTCCAGGCTGCCCCAGACAGGGAGGAGAAGTTTGGGTAAAGCAGCTCCCTTCAGCCACCACCAATTCCCAGGGAGGGATTTTGCTGAGAGTGGTCAAGGAAACACCTCCCGGCTGCTGGGAATGGAAGCTCAGTCCTGAAAGGGAATTTCCAACTCACTCCATAGCGTCCACTGCACACAGCTCTTCAGAAGAGATTCTCACAGAGAGAAGAGCCTCGAGAGGAAGTCAGTGTGGGTGGAACTAAGTTTCTAGAAATCTAGGCTCTTAGAATTCTTGATTTGCTATTTCAGAACTTCCAGTGTGTGATTATCTTAATACGTAAGGCCGCAACCAGAAATCAGGAATCACTTTAAGCATTTTGAAAAGAGAACGTTAAATAGAAAGGGTTGGTTACTGAAGGGGATGGAAGAGCCAGGAAGCCAAAAGGAATGTTGAAGCAATTGGAACATCATCAGCGAGGCAGGAAGGCTGTGGGGAGCCAGGCAGGGGCATGAGCTCAAGAACGAGGGCCATCCAGGAGCCGCCAGACCCTCAGGCGAAGGTCCAGAAATGGCTCTATGTACAATCAGGCCTTGCCTGGGCCTCTTCACGGTCAGCTGTGTCCATTAGCCTTTCCAGGTGTCCATGGAAGACCTACCCACAAACCTAGGATAGACGCTTCCTCCAGTCATGCACCAGGTCATAAATCCTTAGTTTTTTATTCTGAAATTGTCCAGAGCCCTTTTCAGTTGGTTTCAGCAGGTACAACTATCAGACAGTCCATAAATCCCATCCGTGAGTAACTAGGAATATTCTGTGCTGAGTAACTAGGAATATTCTGTGCATTGAATGAAGCATGAAGGGAGAAGACATTGGATAAGTGACGAGTACTTAACTGATGACTAGCTTGGGATGCTCACAGCTGATGGACACAGCTGACAGTGAAGAGGCCCAGGCAAGGCCTGGTTGTACAGAGTGCCATTTCTGGACCTTCTCCTGAGGGTCTAGCGGCTCCTGGATGGCCCTCGTTCTTGAGCTCTGCTCATGCTGCCCCCAGCTTCCCCCAGCCTTCCTGCCTAGCCAGTGTTCCGGTTGCTTCAACATTCCTTTCGGCTTCCTGAATCTTCCACCCCCTTCAGTAACCAACCCTTTCTGTTTAATGTTCTGTTTTTAAAATGCTTAGAGTGATTCCTGATTGCTAGTTGGGGCCTTACCTACTGAGATAATTACACATGTCAAGATCTGAAACAGAAAATCAAGAATTCTAAAAGCCCAGATGACTAAAAACAGGAAGTCATTTAGTCGAATCCCTGTCTTTTGATAATTCCCTTCACAACAGTATTGTAAAGTGATTTTCTGGCTCTCTGTTAACTCTTCGCTGCTTTAAACTGGAAACAATAGCTTGGATTTGCAGGGAGGTGGATTTCAGGTTGATTCAAGACAGAACTGTCTGATAATACTATAGACTTCCCAGGGCCACAGATGGCTCCCTGGCACCATTAGCATCTAAGAAGAAACCAAGTGACCAGCCAACATGGTTATTGTAGAATATGCCACCACTGGTTGCTGCAAGATGCTTGATAACTCCTAAAAGTTGTTCCAACTTTAAAATTCCATGATTCTGTAAGTTGCAGCCCTCACTAATCAGATAATACCCACCAGTTAAGTGTACTGAGCCTACAAGCATTTTTAAAAACAAAATTATTTCACATTTTGTCATATAACTAACTGCTGATCCTCATCTTTCTTCTACAGCACAGTAGTACATAAGGCTTCGCAACAAATCGTCAGCTTAAACACAGGCACGGGAAAGCATGTAATAATACTCCGATATTCTTTGTCCTGTTGATGGCACTGAGAGCAAAACAGTGGACAACCCTGGTCTACAGAACAGTGGAGAGACTGGAATTTTATGTTCAAGACAAGGCCTTGCACTGCCAGTAATGCCTAACCAGGGTGTCTAATCTTTGGACTTCCCTGGCCACATTGGAAGAAGAAGAATTGTCTTGGGCCACACATAACATACACTAACACTAATGATAGCTGATGAGAAAAAAAAAAAAAGTCCTCACATAAATCTCATATTGTTTTAAGAAACTTTGGAAATTTGTGTTGGGCCACATTCAAAACTGTCCGGGCCACAGGTTGGACAATGTTGGTATAACACAAGATGCCTCAAAACACAGATTTCAGAAATGCGTGGATTCTGAGTCCTACGTGTTCAGAAAAAAGTAAGATATCCTTGCTTGGAGTCCCTCTGCAAGTACATAAACAAACACATAAATGACGTTATGTTGAAGATCAGTCATGGTTCTTGGTGCTAAATTGGAGAAAGAGGAAAATAAGTCATCCGAATGCTGCTTTCAGTACTGACTGGAAGGATGTATGTGGATTTCCCTTTCCAACTCTTTCTTTCCTCCTCTCTTACCATGAGCAGCGCCAGCAGACACCTGTGTACCCATTTGTGCTCTGTTTGTGCACTGACCTTGTAACATTTTGTTACTTCATGATACTTCTTTATGCAGAGAGGATTAAGTTTTTTCCTTCAGATTTTATGTTTCACCTATGATGTCCCTGATAGTGTCAGTCCCTGGCACATCTGAGCATGAACTGATGTCCACAAGCCATCAACTGTTTGGCATGTCTGACACTGCTGCATATTCACAGCTGGTTAGTTTGGGAAAAAGAAAAAGTCAGGGGTTGTCACAGAAGTATGTAGGGGGAAATCCCAGTTACTTGATTTCCAAATAAAATGATAAAGGGCCACACTGATGTAAAAGCGATAGATAACTTAATTGGATATATAAAGATAGTAATTTTTAAAGCACTTTATTGTGAATGCACACACCTTCTTTCTTTGAAAAAGGAGCTCCAAACCGTAGAAGAGTAGTTGCCTGTATGCTATCATCTTGTTTCTCAGGCCAGAAATTATTCTGTTTATGCTAATTCCTTTAGGAATGAGGCTCTGGCGACAGGGGTCCCATTAACAATGTACTTTTGTTTTATAAGGATTTGCACAAACTCACATTTCTCTACCCTTTATATACATTGTGTATTAAGGATTTTGGCGACTTAGAATTTCTGTCATTTAGAGACAGGAAAATCAACATGCCATCTGCAGTTATACGATGTACTACGATGGATGATCATGATATGCCTTATGAAGTTTACAGAGAATGAGGGCGAACAGGAAAGTCACAGTCATTATTTGTTGTTCTGTGCACACCGTGGTCTTTACTTCTTTTTCTGAAGAGTTCATCACTAACAAGGAAATCACCAGTGACCTTTCCCACACCACTCCGTAGATGGGGTCAAACAACTTCCTTTCCCTTTCATGTAAACATACGGCCACGGCACTCACCTAAGACATTTGGCACAGGCTGTACTTCTCATCATGGTAGTACTTTGAAAAAAAAATTTATTAAATTAACTCAGTGTGGTTTAATTTGAATACTTGTGACAGGACTTCAAGTTGAAAAATTCATAAACCAGAGCATGTTTCCTAATCAGAGCCTCAGAAATTAGAGTCAGTACTCTATATTCTACGCCTTCAGGTTCTTATAGAGTAACCAGAATGAGAGCGAAACACTTCAGGAACTACACCCTCCAAATCAAATTATTCTCTTTCATTATGTTATTGAGACATATTTAAGAAACCTTAACTAATGTACGAAGTTATGGCTGGGACCAAGCTTCCAACCCCATTCTCCTGTAAGTGGCTCAGAAATGTCAAATACTGCTCTGCCTCTTCCAACTGCCACCACATTCTCCCCACAACCCAAAAGACAAATGCATGTACCGATGCTGTCATGAGATTTGTCTTATTTTATTGACAACACTTTGAGTTAGTGTTAACTAGCCAAAACATTCCAGTGATACTGCCATGCTTACTACGAAGCCCTAATAGGGAATTTATTAGCTGTGTAAGTGACAAACATGCATCACAAACAACTTCTATAGAGCTCTACTTGTGTAGTTGCTAAAATGCTGGACACCCACTCCATGCCATACTAGCCCCGCTGCAGAGATAACATCTGTGCCGTTGGATAAAGACCATCCCAAGGAGCCCAGCAAAATACATTCAGACTGTGTAACTCTGTGTTATAGAAGAACAAAATTCTCTTACCTTGCATTGTCGTTTTTGTTGGTTCTGAGAACAGAGGAATGAGCAAGAGGTAGATAAGGTAGACAAAGGAGAGCCCATTGTATCGGAATGCACATGCTGTGGGAGGGAAGAGAGAAGAGAGTGAGAAGGTCATTAACAAAGGCAGGTTGACAAAACCGGGGGTGCATAACAAAAGACGGTCTCAGATGTCACTGGATCAAACAGTCACGTCCTGAATAGATATGTCAATCAAAAAGTAATAAATTAGGTATTTATTCTGTGTTCATCACTGTGTTGAGCATGACGAGAAACAGATAATTAAAATACATCAACACTGGTCTTAAAATCTAACCAAGAAATATGAAGGTAAAAGACAAAGCTATTAAAAATAATAATAGCTACAATAATTTAAGGGATACATAGTATAAAAATATGTAAATTGTGCCACCATACACATAAAATGTTATTAGGGGTGGACTATAAAAGTTCAGACTTCGGCCGGGCGCGGTGGCTCAAGCCTGTAATCCCAGCACTTTGGGAGGCCGAGACGGGTGGATCACGAGGTCAGGAGATCGAGACCATCCTGGCCAACATGGTGAAACCCCGTCTCTACTAAAAAATACAAAAAACTAGCTGGGCGAGGTGGCGGGCGCCTGTAGTCCCAGCTACTCGGGAGGCTGAGGCAGGAGAATGGTGTAAACCCAGGAGGCGGAGTTTGCAGTGAGCTGAGATCCGGCCACTGCACTCCAGCTTGGGCGACAGAGAGAGACTTCGTCTCAAAAAACAAAACAAAAAAAAAGTTCAGACTTCTTTTTGTTTGTTTGTGACTGAGTTTTGTCCTGTTGTCCAGGCTGGAGTGCAGTGGCATGATCTTGGCTCACTGCAGCCTCTGCCTCCTGGATTCAGGTGATTCTCCTGCCTCAGCCTCTCAAGTAGCTGGGATTACAGGAGCACACCACCATGCCTGGCTAATTTTTGTACTTTCAGTAGAGATGGGGTTTCGTCATGTTGGCCAGGCTGGTCTTGAACTCTTGACCTCAGGTAATCTGCCTGCCTCAGCCTCCCAAAGTGCTGGGATTACAGGTGTGAGCCACCGCACCTGGCCTAGTGCATACTTTTTATGTACAATTAAAGTTAAGTTATCAATTTAAAATACTCTGTTATACTATAAAATGCTTTATGTAAACCTCATGGTCACCACAAAGCAAAAACCTATAGCAGATACAAAAAAGACAAAAAGTACAAAATCAAAGCATACCACTAGAGAAAATCACCAAATCACAAAGGAAGACAGCAAGAGAGAAAGAAATGAACAAACTGAAGTACAAAATAATCAGAAAATAATAAACAAAATGATAGTAGTAAGTCCTTGGCTACAAGTAATTACCTTAATACATTGTATACTATTAGGTGATAGTTGCACTAAAAGCCCAAATTTCTCTACTAAGCAATATATCTATGTAACAAAATTGCACTTGTACCGCCTAAACATATAAAAATAAAAAAGAACATTTTGTTCCTCCACTAGGCCCTATTAGGCCAATGGAGAAATCTAGCAATAAAAGGCAAATGTAAGCACACTTAATTTTTATTTATTTTTTATTTATTTTTTTGAGATGGAGTCTCGCTCTGTCAACCCAGGCTGGAGTGTAGTGGTGCGATCTCGGCTCACTGCAAGCTCCGCCTCCTGGGTTCATGCCATTCTCCTGCCTCAGCCTCCCACGTAACTGGGACTACAGGCACCCACCACCATGTCTGGCTAATTTTTTGTATTTTTACTAGAGACGGGGTTTCACTGTGTTAGCCAGGATGGTCTCGATCTCCTGACCTCCTGGTCCCCCCGCCTCGGCCTCCCAAAGTGCTGGGATTACAGGCATGACCCACCGTGCTAGCTAGAATTTTTTAAAAGACCCAAGTATATGCTACCTGGAAGAAACTCACTTCCCATTTAAGAATACACAGAGACTAAAGGTGGAAGGATAGAAAAAGATATTCTATGCAAATGAAAACCAAAAGACACCAGGGATAGTTAGACTTATATCTGATAAAATAGACTTTAAGAACTGTAAAATGAGACGAAGGTCAATATATAGTGACAAAGGGATCAACTGTAATGGTTTTAAATATATATGCACCCAAGACTGGAACATCTACATATATAAAGCAAATATCAATGGATATAAAGAAAGAGATAAACTATAATATAATAATAGCAGGGGATTTCAATATCCATTCTTAGAAATGGACAGACCATCCAATCAGAAAATTAATAAGAAAACATCAGACAAACTACATTTTAGACCAAATGAACCTAATAGACATATACAGAACAGTCTATCCAACAGCAGCAGGATACACATTCTATTTTTTCTTTTTTTTTTATCCGTGATTAAAAAAATCTCCCCTCAAAAATAAATGAAGAAATAAATAAAAGCCCAGGACCTGATGAATTCTACCGAATATTTAAGGAGAAATAATACCAATTCTTCTCAAATTCTTCCAAGAAAATTAGAGAAGAGGGAATACTTGCAAAGTCATCCTATGTGGTCATCATTACCCTGATACTAAAACCAGACAAGGATAATACAAGGAAAGAAAATTACAGGCCAGTGTCCTTGATGAACATAGATGCACAAGTCCTCAACAAAATGCAAGCAAACCCAACTCAGCAAGAAAAGGGCTCCTCCATCATGATCAAGTGGGCTTTATCCCAGGGATGCAAGAATGGTTCAACATACCTATAGCTATCAATGTGATACACCACATTAACAGAATGAAGAACAAAAACCATATATCTTCTCAAAGATGCAGGAAAACTATCCGGCAAAATTCAACACCCTTCATGGTAAAAATTCTCAACAAATTACGTATGGAAGAAATGGACTTCAGTACAATAGAGGCCATATGTAACACACACACAGCTAATATCACACTCATCAGTGACAATTTAAAATTTTTCTTCTAATACCAGAAATAAGACAAGGATGCCTACTCTTGACACTTCTATTCAATGTGGTATGGGAAGTCCTAGACAGAGAAATTAGGCAAGAAAAAGAAATCAATACATCAAAATTGGAAAGGAAGAAGCAAAGCAAATTTGTCTGTTTGCAGATGACCTGATCTTATATAAAGAAAACCCTAAAGACTCAACCAAAAAATTGTTAGAACTAATTAATTCAGTAAAGTTTCAAAATACAAAATCAACACAAGAAAATCAGTAGCATTCGCTATACACTAACAACGAAGTATATGAAAAAGAAATTTTAAAAATCCCATTCACAGTAGCTACAAATAATACTTCGAAATAAAGCTAACCAAAGAGGTGAAAGACCTATAAATGGAAGGATATAAAACATTGATAACAGAAATTGAGGCAGACACAAATACAGCCATGGACCTGTTAGCATCAGCAATGTGTTCTGAGAAATGCATTGTTAGGTAATTTTGTCCTTATGGGAACTGTGTGCTTACATAAACAGAGATGGTACACCCTACTGCACACCTAGACAATATAGTGTCGCCTACTGCTCCTAGGCCAAAAACCTGTGCAGCATATGTTACTGTGCTGAATACTACAGGCAACTGTAATACAATGGCGAGGATTTATGTATTTAAACATATCTAAACATAGGAAAAGTACAGTAAAACTATGGCATTATAATCTTATGGGACCAGCCCCACAGACCGTCAGCATTCCTGCTTGGTGGCGATCAAAGGGCATGGAGATCAAGCCCTGAACAGAGATGTTAGTTGAAATAATAAGAAAAAATGAACTCTCTGAAGGGAAGAGCACTAAAGAGAGGCACAAAGGAGGCAGGTGTTTGTCTTAGCTCTGCCTGCATGTGGGATGAGAGTGGGTAAGGAAACTGGCAGGTAGGAAAGAAAAAAGCAGCAGAAAAATGTGAGATGGATATGAGGAAAACCAGGACAGCCCAGCTTCACAAAGGGAAAGGTTTTCACGAAAGAAGTCCACTGCAACGGGGAGACTGGATTGTCACGACTGCCGGTGAGGATGTCCTTGCAGCCCCTCGCCGAAGGGCTTCAGCCCAGAAGGAAGGAAGGAAGTCAACCTATGGAAGTGCAGTGAACATGCGGCCACAACCAGGAAGCTGGAAGCAAGAAGGGGAGGCCTGGGAGACTGAGCAGAGGACGCCAAGGAACAGACCGGGCCCAAGTGCTCCTGGTCACCGAAGTGCTGAGCATCTGGGCCTTGGGCACAGTCCAGGCTGGGGGGACACATCAGGATGCGAGTGGCGGGTACCCAGACAGGAAGACCAGATCAAGAAGCACTAATCCCAGAATGCAGACAACAGGAGTACAGCACACTCCAGCCAAGGGTCTGAGTTAGGACCCATGGTGCCTGCTTCCATGGCTGATTCTAGAAGTCAGCAAGGAAAGAAGCAAAATGCAATAATTTTATTGCAATAAAAATGCGATAAAGCAAAATGCATGGGAGAAGAGAACAGGAATCAACAAGAAGTTCTTTTTATCCCAAAGGAGTCACACATATATTTGTTGCTTTCTGCACCACTCTCCACATCTCAACCTCCTTTCTTAAAGGTTCAAAGCAGAAAGAAATGTTCACACCACAGATTGGAGTGACAGGCAAATACCTAAAACAGGTGATCTACAAGAAGAACAAAAGCTCGGATTCTCTTTCCAACTGCTTTTCATCTTCTGCTTATTTCTCATCCAGAGTTGAAGTCTTTTATAGAACATTGTAGAGACATTTGGTCATTCATCTGCCAACAAACATGTAGTCAGCACACACTGTGTGCTGGGCGTTGTCCTAGGTGTTTGAGCTACATCAGAGAGCAAAACGGAAATGAGAGATCGCACCCTGCCTTTGGGAGCTGACGTGCTGGTGGGGAGACAGTGGTGAACGATGGGCAAAATCAAAGGCACAGCATGTGGTGTGTTGGAAAGGAAGTGCTATGTCCACAAGAAGGCCAGCCAGAGAAGGGAAAGACACAGCCTAGGGGAGGGGAGGCGTGAAGGGGAAAGTGAGGTTGAAGCCCAGAGGTGAGGGAGGTGATGAGCTGATTGAGTGATTCCTGTCAATTCCCTTTGGGAGAAGCACTCAGGCAAAACAGAAGCAAGCCAGACCCCTCTAACCT